TGAAAAAAAATTCTCCCACCCTACGGTGCAGATGGTGCTTGTTTAAAGGTGGCCCAGTGGGGGCTGGACAGAAACAAAGGAAGATGAGCAAAACCTGATTCTAATCAAGAGGAGAAGACCTTTCAAGTTAGCTTGCTTTCTTTACATCCTACAGTAAATCCATGGTTTGACTGGTCCCTTTGTCCACGGGGAGTTAATTTTATTCCTTCCTACTTCTGATTCAATTCAGGGTGACCAGTATTTGGTCCAAACCCACATGGGATAAGTTTTGAGTAAAAGAGATTATCTTTACTTTCAAATTCTGAGCAAACGAAGGTGAGCCCAGTCCCCACTGGAATTTGCCCAAGTGGGATGTTAACATTTTGAATGTCCATTGATGCAATTCGTCAGATCTGACAACAAAAGCTAGTTGTTTACTCCAGGCAACAATGCACTTCATTCTCAACCTGTTGTTCTCTTCCTTGCTTTTATGCGCACGAAAGGAGAAAGAACCCCTCTTCTCCTGGCTGGTCAGTGCAAACCTGGGTCCAAGGCCTTCAGAGCAGAGCACCGGCTACATCTCAGTTGCATTCACGTTCCATGGAGGGCGCCGCTCTTCATACTCTGATATAGCTCTAGGTTAGGTCACTGGCCTCAGTGAGAAGCCACGGCATTCACACCGATGCGTCTGTGGACATGTGTCTGTGGTTTCTGAGAGAATGAGTGGGCATTTGTATCCTGTAAATTTATCCTGCCCCTCCCCCCAGGTGTAATATCCTTACTCTTTAAATTTTGGAAATTTGTGGTATATATGGGTGGAAAATAGAAAACGTCTGTCTTCTCTAATGACCGCTTACGAGAGTTCCATTCACGACAGCTAAAACTCCAAGTTTTGGAAGTCCTTGAGGAATTGTGGAGATCTGCCTGAGGAAGACTGACAGAGTAAAGGTAATTTGTCTCCAAGTCAATGACAGGCTACAAGTGGATTCTGAAAAATACAGCAAAGATGAAAATTGAACGGGCTGCTGAATTGATCTTGAAGTACTTAGACAAAAGGAAGCATGATATCCAGGGGAGTGCAAATTCCCTAGAAATTAACTTTCTTTCTGGGGTCGACAGACTCATACACTAACTGAGTCCCTGATCCAGTCGATGGACTATTTCATGCTATCCTTGTGAACGAGTTGGGGAAATGTGGGTGAGGCTGCAGGAGTCAATTGAATTTACCTGTATCGAACATTTACATCAATGAGCATGAACTTTTGCAGGATTTTGGAAGACCTGAAATGCATGGGGATATTTAGCTCAGAAAAGGAAAAAAAAAAAAAAGTGTTTGTTTTTTATTTCCCCCTTTTGGAGGAATAACATAGCAGGTGTCTATATATATATATATGTATATATATATATATACACATATATATATATATATTTTAAAGAATTTATTTATTTCACAGAGAGAGAGAGAGTACAAGCAGGAGAAGCAGCAGAGGGAGAGGGAGAAGCAGCCTCCCCACTGAGTGGGGAGCCGGATGTGGGGCTTGATCCCAGGACCCCAGGATCATGACCTGAGCAGAAGGCAGATGCTTAACCGACTGAGACACCCAGACACCGCTTAAAATACTTTTAACAGCTCTATCATCAAAGAGGAATTAGACGTTCCTGTATCCCTGTATTTAGGATTAGGGAAGCAGATTTCCTAATGTAAGGAAAAAGGTTTCTGTCAATTAGTCTTTTGAGGTAGCAAGTATTACTTTCCTCACAAGTTCAAAAGAGGCCATTCATCTTTCTTGGACACTGTCTAGTGGTTGCTTGTATTAAAGGGAAGTTGGATAAGATCATTTCTTCTGGTCTTTTCTAGACTTTTAGATGCTGTGATAAGGTTGGAGAAGTAAGTTAAGTGGTCAGAAAGCAAAAGAACATCTTCCTCTTTGTCATCATTACTAAAGGAGCAAATTAATTTTTTTCACACAGGAAAAGCTTACATTCCTAAGTGCCTGGGATTAGAGATAAATCAGGAATAAGGAATCTTTATAAAAGCCATGAATAACAAGAATTTCCTAAAAGCATCACATCATGATATAAGCCATCAGAAGGGAGTACTGCATTCTCTTTTTCACAAGGCAAGAATGTTTTTCAGATGTATTCAATCCAATTAGAATTGTGATTGCCATATGATACTTTGAGCTGTGAATATTGCATTTTCTCTCACATTCTAGGAGTAAATTGTCTGAAAAGCAGATCCCTTTGCAAATGTAGTAAATCTTTTCTTAGTGTTCAAAGTTATCTGCGAGTTTTCCTTTTCCTCCCTAGTCAGATGGTGGAGGGTCTTGATTCTCATTTTGAGAGATTTTGAGTTCTTTTGACCATGTAACCTATTTTGAGAAATACAGTTTATACCTTGACCCATATATGATCCCAACTGAAGCCAAATATTTGAGAAATAACACTTATGCATTAATATAATACCCTGAATTTGTCAATTCAGTTCATGGATAATTACTGTTCATGCCTCACTAATTTCACAGGATTTGCAGATGAAAAAAACCCATTACTATAGTCAATAATTTCAGGAAACTCAAATAATGGCAGAATAAATGAGAGGGTGGAGGTTTCGCCACTTAGGACATTTGATAAAAGATGAACTTGTTACAGAAAGATAAAGTTTGCATATATATTGCATGAAAAGTCCTGGGGTTTGCAATGAATTTACATATTCTTCTTCACTTCCTTTCTTCTTTCCAGCTTCCTCTCCCTGCCTCCCTAAAAAAGCCACACACCCCTAGCAGAAGCTACTGTAATATGAAAGTCCATGTGAGAGACTGCATTCACTCTGTGTATCTTAAAGCTTGACATCCAGGGAAGCACGTTTTAGCCTAAAGCACGTCTGTCTGTTTACGAACACATTCAGGTGACTAGGGAGATAATGGAATTACTGATACACTGCTCATCGCGGCTTGGGTAACCATTCTTTTATTATCAGGAAGGCAAATGCAATTTTTAAGATCAAAGTGGACATCTCTTGGAAGCTATGTTTATTACAAAAGGCTAAAGTGTCCACATTCCGAGGAATCAGAGAGACTGAAAAGCCAGAAAAGCGGTAGTATTGAAGAGGTGAATGCAATCTTTGACGGACAGCAACCACAGAAGTCAGTGACAGGAACAAGAGGTAATTTAATTCTGAAAGTTACCAACTCTGCAAGCTCCGGGCTTAAGCAAGGTGCCTGATAATGGTGATGGTCACAGACAGGGTCTGCCTGACAAACAATTTCGACTGCCAGGGCAGGGACTGAGAATACTTTCCTAGTTTTCACGTTCTGAGATTCCCTTGGTAGCATTTTGAACCCATTTCTGCCAGGAACAGGAGCCCCACTCACTGACTGCAGGGGAGATAAAAGTAGAAGGTCATTATAACCCAGTCACTGTTAGGAAGTCTTTGGAAAACCAACAAGGATGAATTCTAGCCCTGAAAACATGGCCACCTCGGAGTAAAAACCAGACTGTGACTCTTCCCCTGTCAGCTGCCATCTAATGGCAGTTTCACCGTATTTAGGGTTCTTTTGTATCCTCCTCCAAGCCCCAACATGGCTTTAAATCCCCCTACCCCCTATAGACCCCTTTGCCAAGGCTTTCTGATAGTTAACTTCAGGAAAGCTTGATGAACATCTCTCCAGCTGGGCCCTCTTCAAATGCTTACTGGAAACTCCATCTCTAAAGAACTTTTCTAGTAGTTTTAAATATCCTCAAAATCTTGGCCAAAGCATTTGCCAGAATAACAATGGGCCTTTATTATTTCTTCTCAAAAACTCTCCAGCAATTTCAGAGTATGAAGAGGGCTTCAGAAATTCTGGTTACTTGATGAGTGTGCTTCATGTTACAAAAGGAATCATTTACCTCTCCCTTTTTATCAGGCTAATGTCTTCTGAAATTCCCTCAGCATTTCCAAGAGTTTATCTTTCCAGAGACTAGAATCACAAGAAGCATTTTCTGATGTTTATCGCATACTTTTTGGAGTTTAAAGGGTTAGTGTCACAGAAATGGTTCTTATACTTGGGGGCTTCTCCACTGTAAACTTTTACTGCCCATATTATTAATGAAAAGACGGTATCAATTCTAACACATTTGAAACAGACCCTTAGAAAGTATGCAAAGCCCCAATCACAGACATTTTTCTTGTCCTAAGAAAAAATACATGATAGTTTCAAATTTATGAAAACTTTAATGTGATCAAATGGGTACAGCAGGAGGAATAGTTAATAGTATGCCTTGGGCAATCTCTGGGCTCACTTTTGGAAAAAGTTTACCATTCACCATTAATGGACCTAAGAGTTGGTCAAACTAAGCTAAATATATATTTTTCTTTTTCTTGGCATGCACAATTCTCATGCCCACACTGGAAAAAAAAGAAAAAAAGGACTTAACTTTGTAGAGACCAATAGATTACTATAAATTCTTACCTATATCGAACTTAAATTAATGACCGAGTTATCAAAGATTATTTACACTGGATATATCATTCTGATTGAACTCCCCAAGTTCAAGATGTTGGAGCACTACTCAGAAACATCGCCTGCCCTCATCGTTCCCAACAGGGTGTAAACAGAGGCTTAAATCCAGCTTCCTATTTTACATCATTTTCCGATGAGAGTAAAGTAAAACAGTTAATTTAAATGGTTCTTTAGGGAAAAGGCAAAAGAACAGAGAGAACCGAGATGGGGAAGGGACCATCCGAGAGAATAGTTACAAGAGAATATGTGTTTTCAGTGAACTCTGCCTTTCCTGATTCTTAAGTCCGCACACTTCCTCTGATGCTTTGCCAAGTTTGATAAGGGGATGGATTCGTGTATTTGGTGCAACTTGTCATTTTCTACAACTTGTAGGTCTGACTTTTCTCCAAGGGGCGGATATTGTTGCCACGTTTTCTTCCATTTTATTAGAGATGATTGTCCTCATGGGTCCCAAGTTGACATGCCTGAAATGAGTAAGCTGCCCTCTCTCCCACAGCCTTTCCCTCAGCTACTCACTCAAAAGGGTCGCTGGGATCTGCCCTCTGGAGCTCTGGAGGGATGGGGATCCTTTTGTAGTACATTTCCCAGTCGAAGGCGCCTCGCATGGCATCCCCAGCTTGTGCCTCATACCCAAAGTGGTTGTGGTCAATGACATCGATCATGGGGCACACGATGGTTTTGTGGTTTAGTGCAATTTGGTCTGAAAAATGAAAGCACAAAATAGGAAATGACATGCCTGCCTAGGTCATCCATCATTTTCTCAGCAAAGAGAAGCCTACAGATCCTTCCTAATGTGGGGATGCTGCTTGCAGCCTGGTTTCCTGTGGTTGTTAGAGGGCTTTGCGAAGTCTCTTCTAAGGCTGGACTTAACGTGATGGGACAGTGATTAGGTACAATTAGTGTCGTCGTGTTTTTCTTTAAGAAAGTTATGTCCCGGAGAGACTTGCAGAAGTCCTTTTAGCTCTACCTCTGTCACTTTTTGCTCTGACCTGTCCCCAATCTGTCATTTTATAGCGCATCCAGCATGCATGGAGCATAAACAGTAGTTGTGTTCCTTCAAGCATACAGAGGGAGTTTGCTGAGAAAATATTGTCCTGCTTTCTGGAGGTTCCAAAATGTAAATATTTAATGTCATGTTTCTTTTATTTAGCCTCTAATCTTATGATGTCATGATGGCTGCTCCCCCGTTAAATGCTGACAGATCACACCAAGCATTCTTTGCTATTGTCCTTTGATTGTCCTTTGTTTATTAAAGCTATACGTTTTTATCTTTTCTCATTCTATCCAAAAATGTAGTAGATGGCCTGATGCTACTGTTACTATTCCTGCTACTCTCAAATTCTTGAGCAACTGCTAAATGGTTTATAGTCTTGGTAATTCTAATCCTCCTAGCAACCCGTAAAGTGGCTGCCATTGTCATTCTCAATCTACAGACGAGGATACTGAGCTCAGAGAAGCTAAATAACTTGTCAAAGGTCACTCATCTTTGGAGAGCAAAACCAAGGACGCAATGCCTGCCCAACAGTCCTATCCTAAAACCCGTGGTCTTTCCAGTTCTCCATGATGCTTCTCGCGTGATATCTTTTTCAGTCCCAGCTCCTTCCTTTTCCATGTAGATATTATTGTTGTGAGACTTTAACAGCGCGGGAGATCGGCATTTACACATGTTGCCTCACCTGGAACAGCTATAGGTGACATAGGGTTGACTATTGAACAACAAAGGTTCGAAATGCACAGGTCCACTTATGAATAGATATTTTTCGATATAGTACAGTGCTGCAAATGTATGTTCTCTTCCTTATGATTTTCTTAAGAACATTTTACTCTCTAGCTTACTTTATTGTCAGAGTAGAGTATGGAATACATATACTGTACACGGTAAGTGTCAGTTGACTGTTTATGTGATTGGTAAGTCTTCTGGTCAACAGCAAGTTATTTGGAGAGTTGTTACACGTGAATCTTTGACTGTGCAGGGTGTTGGTGCCCCTAACCTCTGTGCTGTTTAAGGGGCCAACCATATTTTCTTCCCACAAATGTGCACTCAGTATTTATTATAACAAACATATTGTCTGACCGAACTTTTAAGTATGAACATCTGATTTCTGGCTATTTGGATGATCTGCTGCGGCATGTGGAATAAAATACATTTAAATATCTTAAAAAACATCTTTTAGAAATAATGAGATTTGGCTAGTTCAGTATTATTTTTTTGATGTCTCTGATGGGGCAGGGTGGGGAAACCTCAGAATCCTATAGAAGATCTCCCCTCCATATTTATATGCCCCTTCCTTCCTTCCTCCCTCCCTTCCTTCCATCCTTCCTTCCTTTCTTCCTTTCTTCCAATTCAACAGCTATTTATTGAGTAGAAATTCTATGCCTGCCACTTGTCTAGGTTCTGGGAACACAGCAGTGAATAACAACCACAAAAATCTCTGTCTTTAGCAATGGAGCAAAGACAATCAATATACATAATAAATCTCTAAATTACATAGTACGTTTGAAGGTGATAAATGTGATAGAAAGAAGATAAAACAGGATAAGGAGAGTATGATGTGGGCATGTGGCAAGGTAAACGGCATGGCCCCAGGAGGCCCCTGAGACCCTAGAGGTGGCCTTCCTATTATTTCAGCTAATCGGTAGACAGAGAGACCCCTAGCACTATTTCAGGTGATTCTTCGACAAGCACCCTATGAGCATCCATTTTCACCTGGGAAAGTCTTGTAATGGGTTTTAATCTTTATCTAAATGGTGTTTCCCCGTAGATGTCTTTGGCAGAGGAGGCATCATTGCTGTGTCCAAAATCTCTCTCCTAGCACCTCTGCAGGTAGTTCAATATTACGGTTTCAGTGACTTTCTTCAATCAAATTCAGAATCAGGTTGATTTACAAGTTCCTTGACCAACAAGGAGTCCCAAGGTGACCCAAAGAGAATGAGTCTGTTAAATTAACTGTCAACTCTCCCTTCAAATCTCCTTTCAGCTCTCATCCAGCTGTTCTAGCTTAGGGTGAAAGCAGCATGACTAATTTTTCATCTAAGGCTTGTGCCTACATTTCAATTTCCAGGGATCAAACAAACAGACTCTTAATGGGAAATTGAAATTCAGGTATAATCCCAAGGTGAAAAATGAACCAAGAAACTGTGTGGCTCCGCCTGTTTTTTTTCATTTTGGATGATGTGTCAGGACACTGATAGAGGAAAATAAAAAAAGATAGTGATCCTGAGCTTGAATCATTTCTTATCCATCAGGCCTACAGGAAATGAAATGCTTTAATGAGAAAAAGTGGGTTTCTCTTTATTTTTTTCTTTCTCTCTCTCTCTCTTTTTTTCCCCCTTTTAGATTCATATGAACAATCAGAGGCTTGATAATTGGCATTTAGGAATTGCTTTGGTTCATAAATAAATTAGGCCTTTTGCTGACTTCCTTGAGTATTCGACACCATATAGGTCAAGTTCAGTTTGCAGGAATCTCACTGTTGCTGATGAAACTCTAAATTGCTATGTCCTTGAACAAGGTACTTTTAATTAAAAGCTCAGAGGAGTCTCTGGCCAGAGGAGCACTGAGACATTCCTGTTGATTACGATGGCTGGGCAGTCGCCTGGGCAGGTATGTGCGGATTGGGTGAGGCGGTGGGGCGTTAGTTGCTGGTCATTTCCTGTCTTAAATCCTACACAGTTTCAATTGATTCCCCACCCACCCACCCCCAGCCCATGTCTTTTACTAATGGAGCTTTGCTGGTTCTAGCTGAAATCCTACACAGTAGTCAATAGCAAATCATTCTTTCTGAGGCAGCGTATTGTAAAGGCCGTTTATACTGGCTTTAGCTCCAAGGCCAGGGTTATATTTACAATAAAAGTTGATATAGCAAAATCTGGAAGAATAAGAAAGAGTACAGTATGTGCACACCAAGAACTTTTTAGAAACATGTATATATATCTGTATCTATATATCTATATTTTTCTAGTCTGGCAATTTATTCCTCATCCAGTACTGGACTTTATATCTGACTTCATGGTGAAATAAAAAACAAAATAGTCAAGCTCCAACTGAGTCACATAAGCGTTTTCTAGCTTGAATGACTCTTAGTTCTTTCATGTTTCTAACAGTTTAAGTGTAATGTGACAGAGAGGCTGCTTCTTCCCTGACTCTGTACCATATTGTGAGCCTTAGAGATGTGTCATCTTGGATAGTAGCTCGGAGTGCTTGAGGGGGTCCTCTATAAACTTGGGAGATTATATATTTGGGGCTCTAGACTGGTACCAGGAGTCGAGAGGAGAACTGGCATTTTAATCCACAAAAATGTCAGGGCACTTGTACTTGAATTGTATTCTGGGGCTTAATAATTGTCTTTCCTCTTTTCTTAACAGTTCTGTAATAATTGTTATATTCTGTGTGTGTGTTTTAATCTGAACTGTATAGAGATAGTTTTTTCAAAGATCTTATTTGTTTGTCAGAGAGAGAGAGATCAAGCACATGCAGGGGGAGCGGCAGACAGAAGGAGAAGCAGGCTCCTTGCTGAGCAGGGATCCTGATGCAGGACTTGATCCCAGGACCCTGAAATCATGACCTGAGCTGAACGCAGACGCTTAACTGACTGAGCCACCCAGGTGTCCCGAGATCATGTTTTAAGCACTTTCTTCTTTTAGTATTTACTGAACCACTATAACTACAATAAAGGAGAACGTCTAAACTAAATGAAACCATTACAAACCTTAAATTAGACTGAGGTTGGTAGTATCTAAAATGGCAATTTTAATGCAGTTTTCTAGTGACCTATTTGTTCTTAGCTGTGGTTAAGATAGAATTCGTGGCTCTCATTGTAAAAATTGTAGAAGGGATCTCTCGCCTTTGTTGATTGCAAACTGTACAGAAGCAAGCCACACACTCCCTCTGAAGGAGGGCGAGTCCCCAGGCCCTGCTGGTCCCCGGAAGGCAACCATCAGCATGAGTACTCACTAAGGAGCGGGGGCAGCCAGTTCACATTGACCTCGCAGTGGGAATCCAGGAACGTCAGGACTTCTCCTCTGGCCATAGATGCCCCCAAGAGGCGGGTCCGGATGAGCCCTTCCCTTTTCTTGGTGCGAACAATCCTTACTTTGGAAAAGCGGGCCATATATTCTTCTAACTTATCCTTCAAGTGTTCTAGGGACGAAACAGAGAATGTAGAGAAAGACCACAGAACATTAATTGCAGCAGAATTATCCGTGGGTGCTTACTCATTAAGTGTACGTGAAGGATGACTCCAAGCTTACATCCATTTTTCTCCTCTCTTCATCTCAAGGAGAGACACTAATAAAATTTTACACCCACAGGTTTTTTTTACTTTGTACTTCCCAAAAAGCTTTATAATATGCAAATACCGCCCTTTGTTTGAATACTAGAAGACACAGACCCACGAGAGCTGTACCATGCCATGACTGTTGGCCAGCTGTCACCATGCTTAATCCTGGCCAGCTTTCACCACGGTGGGCATTGGCCCTCTGGTTCCTGCTGTGTAAAGTCAGATGAACATTCCAGCATCTGGACTGTGTTCAACAAGAGGGCTCTTTCCAGCAAGGCCATCCTAGTTTCTGTGTTTTGAAAATAATGCATGTAAAACCACAAGAAAAAAAAACTGTATCTCTCAAATCAACAAGAGCCAAACAGATTTTCCCCCAACAGGGTAATAGTAAACTAATAAAGAAGTTCAGCATCTGGGTCTGATTTGAAGTGTAAAAGTGACTGACTTGCTGTTAAAATTAGATGTGAAACAAGGAAGGCAGATAGATACTACACAATCATTTTGAACTTAAGCTATTTAAGATTAGAAAACAAAAATTTAAAAATGTCTCTTTGCCTAATTAAAAACAAACTGTGGGAACCAAATCAAATCAGATAGCTTATTTACAGCGAAAAAAGATCTCCTCCTGGCTGTTATAAGATGCACTGATATCTTAGATCTTTAATGTCAAGTAAGTGTTTTTGGTATCTTTCTGTGGAATTTGTACTCATATAATTTACATCCCGTGCTTTCACTCTCCTGTATCTAACATAGGAGGGCTTTGCTGGAGTTTCTTTTTTTTTCTTTTCTTTTCTTTTCTGTGTTCCAGAATTCATTGTTTATGTACCATAACCAGTGCTCCATGCAATACATGCCCTCCATAACACCCACTACTGGGGTTTCTAATAAACAACGTCTACTAGTCACAGTAACAGAATCTTAGTACGCAGTAAGTTCTGTAGTTCCTCTTTCAGACTTTCTCTACATGTGTGCAATCAAAGGCAATATTATTTTTAAGTCTCCTCCTATGATCTGTAGACATTGGGATTCAAGTAAGGATTTATGAGACCTTTCCCTGCAATCCAATTTAACCGATGTCAGAATTACTCACATTGGAATTTCTTTATACATCAGCCTTCATTTTTATTTTTATTTCTTCTTATTAACGTAGTGTTTTAAAAAAAAATCTCAATTTCCAGAGTGCCAGGGTGGCTTAGTCGGTTAATGTCCGACTCCTAATTTTGGCTCAGGCCATGATCTCAGGGTAATGAGATCGAGCCTCACATTGGGCTCCTCATTGAGCATGGAGCCTGCTTAAGATTTTCTCTCCTTCTCCCTCTGCTCCTCCCTCCACTGTGTGTGCATGTGCACATGTTTTCTCTCTCTCTCTCTCAAAAAAGAAACAAACCCAAAAAACAACTCAATTTTCTTTTTTTTTCCGACTGCCCCGTAACTAAGCTTTACAAATAGATAAAGTTAAAACTACTTCTAATTTTTCCTACAAAAGAATACTGGTGGGATCTTTCACAAGAGTGTTTTAGCACAAAATAGGTTTTCTTCTATTTTGTTCTTCCTGTAATGAACAGACCTATAGAGATCAGAGTACAGAAAGCAAAGATTACAGATCTGGAATCAGAATAGACCTAGGTGGGATGTCAGCACCAGTGAAATATATGAATATATGTGAAATATATTCTCTTATCCTGAATTTTCTCATCTACAAAATACAGGCAATTGGGAGATTTTCTCCTCTTAGAGTGTGGTGGGGAGGATCTGTTTTTTGGTCAGAAACCTCATAGTACTTGTTCGGTAAACATTCAATAATTGGAGACCTCCTAAGTCACACATACTTATGAAGAGAAACAACAGCTTGTCTAGCTGAAGAAATGCCTTTGAAGGCTGAGCCTGAAAGATGAAAAATCTAGAATTTGTATTTCTTGGTGAGAATTTGATAATTCATCATCTTCTATTGATTGAGAATTTAAAAAATGAAACGTTTTGGCCACCAGTAAGTGAACACATATAACTTTATGGCGGTATCACAGTTTCTCACAGAAAAGCTGGCTGCAAAGTGTCTCCAACTCTTGAAGACGGGTGTGCCATGCCAAGGGCCTATCTTCTGCCCCTCTTTTCTTTGCTTACCCCTCCCCTGTACCCACCTATGCAAGAGAGAGATTCCCAAGGGCTGCACAGCACAGTGGCCACCTGTGAATAAGACCGGAGCTTACTAACCTGTTAGGGAAATAAAGCAGAAACCTGCAACCTAGTCGTGCAATGAGAGGCAATGAGTAAGTGGCAAGTGATCAGTCCCAGAGCTCTCTATACGCCAGCCCGGAAAGGCTTGCATTCGTTCAGGGTTTCTCACAGTAATAAACGTTTAAGAAGAGGCCATATCTCATTACTGTAATTTATTCTGGCTCTGAAATCCTTCCGTATTCCAACGTACAAACAGGTGTCATTCTATAGGTTTATTTGTAAACTGTTTGGCCACAGAAACGTGGTGTCTCCTGGAAACGGTGTCACAACAGTCATTGGGGATGGAAAAGAGTGACCATTTGTTAAAACCCACCAAAACAGTGTTTGTTTGTTTTCTTGCATTAAGCCTCACTGTTCTTTGGCAGGTACCACAGTGAGTATGGTCATGGTGGTCTGGGTGCAGGTACTTCTTTCCTCCCTGACCCTAAGGACTAAAGAGGCCTCTTGGGGAGAGGAGGACTCATTCTCTGTAGCTGTGTATGAGGAAATGGCTCTAGAAGACTACAGTCACTTCCCAGGTGGTCTAACTTGTTGATCACCTGAGAGTGGTTGGAGTGGTTGTCCCAACTTTGGGTTTAGATTTCTCTACTTTTTAGTTTATACGAAATTCTCTGAAACTCAGCGGGGGACTATCTCTACGTGTCTCCTTTCTGGCTATGCACATTATCTGATTCTGTGTATTTTTCTTTGATCAAAGCCCATTTTAATGTACTAAAGGAATTGTATGGTATGAATCCACAAAACACAAAGGGTTTGACCTTAGATAGAGTCCCCTAATCGTTCAAATCAATTCTTTTAGTTTGAACTTTGTAGTAATCATTAGGTTGCTTTGTCTCAGAATAATGATCTGGTTGACTGCCCTTGTGAAGGGTCCATTCTTGTTTAGTAGTTCAGCTGTAATTTCTAATTACCCATAACTTACAATGAAAACAGGTATCATCAGTCTGATTAGCAAATTAGATTCTCATACAATGGAGTTACTGGGGATGGTGGAGATGGCTTTAAATTAAAAACATTTTATATTTCTTGTATATGAACAATTTTAAGATTCATTTCTAAAATATTATTAAAATGATTTTAAACATGATTTTATATGATTTTATTTCAAGTACAGTATCTCTGAAGATCCCTTTTGAACTTCAATTTTAAATAATGACAAGAGAATTTATGGTATTTTTATAAAACTGGCAGTTTTCTTTAGGGATTATGAGACATTTGGGGACCCAGAAAACATAAGACCACTAGTTAAAACCCACTGAGCCATATCCTGATGACCCAGACAAGTGAACACAACTTCAAATATGCTAGTTTTTGCCAGGGTTTATTGTATCTTTGTGGGGCAATAAGGAATGAAAATTTGTACTCAAGTGAAATTTTGGTGTCCTGCTACTGTGAATATTAAATTTAGCAGTTTTCTCAATTAATTTTCCTTTTTCCAAAAATTTCACTTATACTCCATGAACTTATATGGAGAATCGATCATTCATTCCTTTATTTAATGTTAGGGGTAGCAACTAAATACTAATAAAATCTCCTTCAATGATTTGCATAGTCAAGAGTTGAGGACATGAGTAAGTGGGTCACTGCATCCCATTTAACCTCATTTGCCTTAGCTATAAGGAAGGAAAAATGTCTTCAATATTCCTTCTAGTTCTATAATTCTATGGTTTCCCCTGGTGGAGTTTTACTTACAGAGTAAATCTAACCTTACTGAGTACCTAGTTTTTTCACGAAAGCATCCTAATGGTTGGTAATTTGGTGTTTCTTTGGGCTATGTCTCACTTTTGAAAGCAAGAGTCAAATAAAAATAAAACTAAGGCATATCAAAGATTTAGTTAAAAAGTGAACTCCAGAGTATTTTCTTTGGTCAATACAGTACCTGTCTAATCTCCTGTGGTTCACTGTCTGTAAGACTGTTACTGATGTCAAAATAATGACTTTGAAGCACTGTAAGTTCATCAAAGATTTACATCTGTTCAATAAATCATGCTTATTATATCAGAAAATATAGTAACAGAGTTCAGACAGCTTTCTAGTCTACCTCTGAGGAACTGTTCCCAAGGGACAATCTAGAGACTATCATTATTTATAGGGCATGGCCAGTGTGTCCCAAGTGGAGGACCCACCAAAGGCCAAGCAAACAGCTGCCCTTAGTGGCTCATTGAGTTGTCCAGCTCCTTCTATCTCCTTTGAATTCCCTAATTTACATCCCAAGATGAGAGCAAGAGGGACAAGGAGACTCTGTTTATCTAGAGATAGGGATTTCTATATTTAATTATATACCTATGGAGATGAATGCTTTTGAAGTGTATATGTTGGTTTTGGCAAAATGAAGTAGAGCCTGACTTTAAGATCATATAGAGTCTGTGTTAGTTATTATGAGTTCTTTATTTTTTTTTTAAGATTTTATTTATTTATTAGAGAGAGAGAGATTGAGAACAAGCAGGCAGAGGGGCAGAGGGAGAAGGGGGAAACAGACTTTCTGCTGAGCAGAGAGCCCAATGCAGGAGTTGATCCCATGACTCCGGGATCAAGAACTGAGCCGAAGGCAGACACTTAATCGACTGAACCACCCAGGCACCCCTAACTGTTAGGAGTTATGAAATGTAAAAGAATATAAACACAC